TGTAAGAACGTTGCTAAGATTAGTATAGTATAAAATACAATGCTCAATCTTATATGTCACACCTCTTATATTTCACTAAGTAGCAAGTAAATATAAAGTACAATCACATGAACTCAAACTATGTTAAACTCAGCAAAGTAAAATTCTTGTTTTGTTGAAAAAAAATAACAGGAATGGATGTAGACTGTGGTTTCTACTTGAAGAACCACACCAAATCAGCAGTCCAAAAGAAGAAAGTCCTTGAATCAGACATAGACAGAGCCCTTACCAACCTCTTCACCATGAGAATGAGACTCGGTTTGTTCAATGGCAACCCAGCCACACTCCCATACGGCTCAATCGGTCCGAACCAAGTCTGCACCCAAGCGCACCAAGACCTAGCCCTGGACGCTGCGAGAAACGGAATTGTACTTCTAAAGAACTCCGCTAAACTCCTCCCATTGAAAAAGACCATTTCGTCCTTAGCCGTTATTGGCCCTAACGCCAATTCCGCTTATACCCTCGTCGGAAACTACGCAGGCCCACCTTGCAAATCCATCGAGCCTCTCAAAGCCCTTCAGAGCTATGTGAAAAACACGCAGTACCATAAAGGGTGTAACTTTGTTAATTGCACATCGGCTTCGATCAATGAGGCTGTTGAGGTGGCTAAAAATGCGGATTATGTGGTTTTGTTTATGGGGTTGGATCAGGGGGAGGAAAGGGAGGATTTTGATCGGGTTGATTTGGTGCTTCCGGGGAAGCAACGTGATCTGATTAGTAGTGTGGCTAAAGCGGCTAAAAAACCGGTGATTTTGGTGATGATTTGTGGTGGTCCGGTGGATATTTCGTTTGCTAAACGTGATCCCAAGATTGGTGGGATCTTGTGGGCCGGTTATCCCGGTGAATCCGGTGGCATTGCACTTGCGGAAATCATCTTTGGTGATCATAATCCAGGTAAAATTCGAGCAATTTATTCAAAATCGTAACTCACGATAGTTTTAATCTATAAACATTTTTATTCGTGTGCCCTGTTTTTGCAGGAGGGAAGCTACCAATGACATGGTACCCAAAAGAATTCGTGAAGATACCAATGACAGACATGAGAATGAGACCACAGCCATCCTCTGGTTATCCCGGGCGTACGTATAGATTCTACACAGGCCGAAAAGTTTTCCGGTTTGGCTATGGGCTCAGCTACTCAAAGTACACATACGAATTTGTATCCGTTACACAAAACAAACTCTCCTTAACCCAAATTTCAAGCACCGGTTCCACCCTTCAGAATTCCGATTCCGTTCATTACACACCAATCACCGACACCGAAACCGAATCATGTGAAAAGTCCAAGTTTTCAGCCACCATCGGAATCCAGAATCACGGGGAAATGGAAGGGAAACATGCGGTTTTGCTGTTTGTGAAGCAAGACGGAATTGGAAACGGAAAGGCGAGGAAGCAGTTGGCGGCATTCGATAGTGTGAAAACGAAAGGCGGAGAAAGGGTTGAAGTTGAATTTGTGATCAATCCGTGTGAGCATTTTAGGACAGCAAATGAAGATGGGTTGATGGTGATTGAAGAAGGGTCTCGTTACCTTGCTGTTGGTGATCAGCAATATGAGATTAGTGTTTCAGCTTGATGTTTGATGGATCTTCAAATGGTCTGATTCGAGCTATTGTGCATTGCGGTTTTTATGTGGAGTTTTGTGGTTTGTTTTTAGAGCAATGTACTTTGTGGAGGGAAACACGAATACACGGTTGTTTATTTAACAATTCTATTTAGTAATATTTGAACCTATGAAGTTCCGTTGTTGACAAGTTAAAACGAAGAGGTTTATTAATGAAAATTAGTGAAGAGATCAAATGAGTTCTTTTTATTAATGGATCACAAAGCAGTCAGGAACATTATAAACATCAACCAACCGAATTCTTGTAAGCTAAGGGGATGTTCGGTATTAGCCGTCTTGCCTTCGTCTAAGAGCCGTATGTTTCTAAATAAGGCATGCAACTAGAAAAAGGCCACAATATGCGAATTAAAATACTAGACACTAAATTTTAATTCAAAATAAATTAATTAGTAGATAAGTACTATGTATAGACGTAACATCTACACATGAATAGCATAGATGAGTACTATATAAATGAAATAATAAGTCGACAAAACATAAAAATAATATTAGTACACCCTGGGTTTTAAATGTTGTAAGGGGTGGCATGATGTTAAACAACGAAAGTTTTTACGAGTTATAATAAGTCATGATGTTTTTTTAAGCATGACGTAACACGACAATTTTGTATATATATATTATATATATATATATATATATATATATTATATATATATATATATATATATATATATATATAAAATCAAATAAAATATCAAAGTTTTAGAAGTGTTATCAATACTTGATAAAAAAAAAAAAAAAAAAAAAATCACTAATTTTATGTCCGATAAAAGCTTGTGCATTGAAAAAAAAACTCACACCATGGCTTGATATGGGGGCATCTAGACGAGTCATTAAATGTGTCATGCATAACAACGCTCGAGATGAAAAAATCATGTCTCCAAGCAATGCGAACTTTTTATACCCCTAAGCCGAAGGACACCACATCCAAAGTTTTCAAGCTCTCAAGAAATTTTTTTTGCATCAAGTAAATAGCGAATATTTATAAATAATTTTCAATATTAGAAATATATGATTCTTAGTCCATCCACACTTATACAATAATAATATATTTTTAAACATATAGCTCATATATTTACCGACTATACCAGTGCAAAGCCAATATATTTTGAAAAATAAACTCCCTCAACACATCATCACATACCTTATATATATTTGTAATCACTAAAATCATATTAAAAAAAACAAACAACTAAATCAAATGTTACTATTACGTGTAAAATTGTTATGCTATTGAAGGTATAACTAATGAAATATATAAGGTAATCATAAAATGTTTTTAATTTCTAACTTAAATACATAAAAATTCGTTAGTTGTGTAACCAATTCATATAACATTTTAGACAACATTTTATTTACTATTTTGATATTATCAAAAACAAATTGATATGTTGTTATCTTTATATAGTTTAATAATAAGATAATTGTTTGTATAGAATGTGAGACCTAGAAAGAGATAAAATTACCTTCTTCTTGAAGGATTTGCAACATTTGAAAGATCAAGGCTCACGTTACTTTTCTTAAGTGTTTTGCAATGTATAGTATACACCGATATGAATGGTCTATATTTATAGATTATTGAATGATATGTGATTTTTAAAAGTTTTATATTCAAATTTACTTTATTTTAGTTTTTTCATCCACTAACTTACTCGTTTTTAGATGAAGTTTTAGGTGTTGTTTGTTTGTTTGTTTGTTTGTTTTTTTTTTTTTTTTGAAAAACTCTTCTTGACCAATTTTGTTCGCGTCGCGCAAACAACACGCAGACTTTTATTCTCGCAGAGTGTTTGTTTTTTCAAATGGTTGAGATATAAAAACGTTTGCGCGAGGTCTTCACCACACATACATGGGCTACCCACTTCTCACATTTGCGGGCTTTTAACCTAGAAAAAACGCCACATACTTTTTCTATTCTCTTGAACGAACTCGCCTACATCTGATACATCTCCATCGGTGCCTCAACCCTTGACTCCCTGCCTAACTCCACCAACGATCTCCGATCAGACGAGGCTATGCTGACCAGACACGAAAGTCTTCACCTGTCGGAGTTCAACGCCGCACCACCTTCCTCCTTCGCTGCCGGACTTCAATAAAAACGAAGATTTGCATCTGCTTCTTCTTCTTCTTCTTCTTCTTTTCAAATCTCATATGAAATTGGTGTTTAGTTTTGCTAGAAAAGTCTATAATCTAGTCAAATATGTTGTTTCCTTTTGCTGAAAATGCTTGTTCTTGCTTAAATTTGGTGTTAGATGTTACAAATCCAAAAATAATGACGAAAATTTTCTTTCTTGCTTAACTTTCTTGTTGAATGTTGCTGAAAATCTATAACATTGGTGAAATCAAGCTTTTTTCTTGATTAAAATATGAAAATATGTGCTGAAATATGAAATAATGATGTGAATGTTGTGATTCTTGCTGAAAATACTATTTATTGCTTCAAATTGTTGTTGAATGTACTGAAAATAGTTATTTAGTTTTGGAAATATGAAACAATGATGTTAATTGTTGAATGTTTTTTATTGGAATGTGTTGATATGCAATACTTTATGAAATCATATTTGTGAATTTGTGAATGCTACAATACTTTATAAATTTTATTGGGATGTTTATGATATATTAGTTATTAGAAATGAGAGAAAAATAACAATTGACCAATGAACATTTAAAATGCTTATTTGATACTTTTATTGAAGAAGTATAGAGTGTTGGTAGAAAATGACTGTGTTTGCAGAGAGATTCATGGATAATGCTTGGAAGAGTTCTTAAGGAAAAATTTGGCGTTGATTTGAGTCAAAAACAAATGAAAAAAGCATATGGCAATCTGAAATCCAAATACACGGGATGCGTATATTTAAAAAAACAAAACTGGCAATATATATATATATATATATATATATATATATATATATATATATATATATATAATTCTCAAACAAACACTTTTAACTTAACAGCCGAGGAGTGGGATTCTTGCTGAAGTTGCCAAATATTCTTATACTATTTTTAAAAAAACAAATCTGGCAATATATATATATATATATATATATATATATATATATATATATATATATATATATATATATATATATAACATTTACATTTGAAGTTGCCAATATTCTTATACTATTTTTTTGTTACATTTGGGTTTACGGGCATCCGATGGTTGCTTCATTGAGAACAATTTCACTGCCTTTTCCAGATCTTTGTGCACGTCTTTTTGATGGAAGTAGTGTCACTAATAATTTTAGGAGTTACTCAACCCAATCATCATCAGTAGTTGGAGCATCCTCTTATCGTGTTCCACCACATCAGATTACGTGCACCTTTTTTCTTGCAATAGATGATGATGGTGATGACACTTCCCATCATGCTAGTGAGCCTTTTCATGAGCCACCACATTCAGCTGCTTCACCATAAACTGATTCACCCTCCGGTAACCCCCAACAAAATGGCTAAACCCTCAACTCCTATAGCTCTTAGTGCCTCACCGTTTGCTTCTTCACCTGATGGAACTTCTATTATTGTTGGCGATTTAGCATTTAAAATGAAAAAAGCTCTACAAAGTTTGACTAAAGGGTATACAATTCCTCAATGTTTAGAGAGGTTAGAGGTGCTTCAGTTAGGCCCTACAGATCCTTTACGCTTTGTTGCATATCATATTTTTGGAGGGACCATGAACACGAGAGAGATGTGAATGCATTTGCCTGATGTTCCCGAGATATTATGAGGATGGCTTGAGATGACCGGTACAAGTTTAGGAGTTTTGAAAGACGGAAAGATTATCCAATGATTTTTCTTGTGTTGAAACTATTTGTTATGTATTTTTGCCTTTGTTGAAACTATTTGTTGTTATTTTACTACTTGGATTATGGTTAATGTAATTTTTTTTTGCTACTTGAAATATGATAATATAGGCCCTGTTTGATATGTGTCTGAGTCAGGTCAGGCATTTTTGGCTGACTCGATCAGTTGAAAGTGTTTGATTTGCAAAATTTAAGCTGACTTGGAAAGTATGGCCGAGAAAGAAGTTGGAACATAGCTGACTGAGAAAGGATGCAAGGCTTTTCAATATGCAAAATTTAAGCTGACTCGGAAAGTATCGTCTGGCCGAGAAAGAAGTTGGAACATAGCTGACTGAGAAAGGAAGCAAGGCTTTTCAATAGTACCATTGCCAGTGGATAAAAATTCGCATGTATATAGCGACATTGCAAGAATCAAACTCGGGTCTCCCTTATTTAAACAATGGTGTTTACCAGCAAGTTAAAGGGTTTTTTGTGTTTTAATCCCTAAAATAATATATTTAATGTATATTATGCTGGAAGTTTTTATATACACTATTATTATTATTATTATTATTATTATTATTATTATTATTATTATTATTATTATTATTATTATTATTGTTGTTGTTGTTGTTGTTGTTGTTGTTGTTATTATTATTATATAGGACATTAGGGTAAAATAGTCATTTTGCATCAGTCGGCACATTCAGTTGGATGTGCAATCAAACATTATGATTTCTTACTCAATCAGAATTTATTACTCAGACAGACCTTTCTCAATCATCACTTTCTCAATTAGAAACTATCAAACGGGGCCGTAGTGTTATTTTGCTACTTGAAATATGATAATGTAGTGTTATGTTGCTACTTGAAATATGATTAATGTAATGTTTTTTTTTGCTACTTGAAATATGATTAATGTAATGTTTTTTTGATACTTGAAATATGATTAATATAGTGTTATTTTGCTACTTGAAATATGGTTAATATAATGTTTTTTGCTACTTGAAGTATGATTAATGTAATGTTTTTTTGCTACTTGAAATATGATTAATGTAGTGTTATTTTGCTACTTGAAATATGATTAATGTAGTGTTATTTTACTATTTGAAATATGGTTAATGTAATGTGTTTTTTGCTACTTAAAATATGATTAATGTAATTTTTTTAAAGTTATACTTTGTTGATTTTAGGTTCATAATGGATCACGATCCAAAGATACTTCTCGTAATTCTTATATACTTGTACATCCGTTATTTTTGGAAGATGTGTAACGACATAAATTTTCAAAACAATTTTTCATTTTCAAAACAACATAATTTCATTCATAAGAAAATCCCAAATCCAATGTTTCACATATTATCCGAATAAAACAAATCCCAAGATCTCAACACATAAAATCCCTTAGTGTGTACGACTCATGCCGATGCCTTCCCGCGATCCTCATTGGTACCTGAAACACATAACACAAACACCGTAAGCATAAATGCTTAGTGAGTTCCCCAAAATACCACATACAACACATACGCCACTCGATGCTATATCTCAGTACGACCTTCCGGTCGATGTGTCTTAGCGGGACCCTCCAGTCCCGTAACTCGTTGGACCCTCCGACCGGTCTATATCGTTGGACCCTTCGGTCCGGTCTATACAACACATAACATACATATATCACCATACAAAATCTCAAGCATACACATACACATAAGACCCTCCGGTCTACATAGATACCACTTTAGGTAATGTATAGTGAGAAGACTCACCTCGGGTAACTCGGATAATCTCACACTCGAAATACTGATCTAGCCTCCACCTAACCACATAAACAATTTCCTTAAACAAGTAACGACTCCCAAAGGCTAGTTTACTCTTTCTACAATCCCACAGAAGGGTAAAAGATCATTTTACCCCTCCTTGACCCCAAAAGTCCAAATGTTGACCAAAACCCTAAAAGTCAATAGCAAGCAGTATGTGGGGCGTACCAACTCGTGTACGAGGGTCATACTCCAACTAACCAGAATCGAGGGACTCAACCCCTTACGCGGCGCGTACTGGGACTTACGCCCAACGTAAGTCCCAGTTTCCCATTCTCAAAAGTTTTGGTCTGGATCGATTAAGACAACGGTTCATATCACCGATCTAGGCACTCTACTGCCTCCTAAACCATAAAGTCGAAACCTTTAGGCCTTTGCATGGCTGAAAAGGTTATAACTCCTTCCAACCTCTTATCCCCTTTTCTCATTAAGACCATAACTCATGCATGACTCCATAATGATGACCAAGATTGGATTTTTATGGATCTAAAACACATATAACGCTGAAATGGGATAGATCTAGGTCCATGGAGTCCCTTTGCTCATAAAGTCTCCACCTTTAGGACTTAAACCCTAAAAATGGCCTATAATACACAAATCCAAAATGAAGAGGAAAGTTCTGAGCTTTTTACCTCCAAGTGATGTTTCCCCCTCTGCAAAGATCAGATTCGAAGCTTGCACTCCAAGACTAGCTTCCACAAAGGTCCTCTCTTCTTCTTTACAAACACACAAAGGAATTTTAAGCTCAACAACACACACACAAAAGCTTAGAACGAAGGTTGGCTATCTTTTAGGGTTTCACTCTCTGAAATGGTGGCTGAGGATAAGACCATAACTTTCTTTATATAGGGCTCAAGTCTCATTTAGGGTTTTGAGTCTGGACCCACTATGCCCAGCGTACCGGGTGGAGTCCGCATCCAAAGCACGCCAATGAGTACGCGCAACGTACTCTTCAGTACGCCCAGCGTACCTATTTGCCATAATCTTCTTTTAAGGGCTAAACTTGACAACTTAGAAAGCAAGAAGGGTTAAATAGATATACCTGAATTTCAGGATGTTACAAGAGGAGTGTGAAACGATTGCGGGATAATGATTCGGAAATAACGGTACAAGAATACATGTTAGAGTTATTGCATCGTAATCGTTTACAATGTGTTAAAGTACTACGCATGTTCCATGACTATTTTGTACGACTATGCTCTCATTTTATAGCAAATTACTCATTAAAGGGCAACAAACATGTATCGGTTATGATCGACCATAATCAACATTACGTGATTATCAAGTGTAGATTTCAACACTCAAAGCAAAAAAATCATAGTTTTTTTATGAAGTATGGGAAAAAAATGATGCTTTTGGCACAATACGTTATAGTACCAACTTCTTTTAATTTAAATCCAAACATTCCAGGACATAATAGGAGGCTACGATGGGTTTTCAAACGGGCGGTCGTTACACTTGATGACACTTTGATACATGTTGTCTCTGCTAAGAAACAATACTTATATAGAAGTAGGGGAAAGAGAGATTGTTACCAAAGCATATTGGGAATTTGTGAGTTCAATATGATTTTTATATTTATTGTGGCTGAGTGGGAAGATGTAACACATGACTCTAGAATATTATCAGAAGCAGTAGTTGATCCACAAACATTATTCTCGTTTCCACCACCAGGTAAGTTTTTGGTTTTTTTTAATATTTTAATCTTAGTTTGAAAATTGATTAGTGTTTTGCATTTTTTACAGACAAATATTATCTTTGTGATGTCGTGTATGCACACACTCGAGGATTTATGGCCCCTTATCGTAATGTGAGGTATTGACTTGGAGATTTTCGTCAAAGACGTGCATTGACCAATAAAGAAAAATTTAACCATGGACATGCAAAACCTTAGAATGTCATTGAGCGTGTTTTTGGTGTTTTGAAAGCACGATTCCCTATATTGAAGAGGATGATACAATTCTCATTTGTTACACAAAGAAACATTGCCATGACATGTTTCGCGCTTCATAATTTTATTAGGAAAGAAGGACTAAGTGATGAGTATTTTGCACGATACAATGAATCCACTGTCTCGTTTCGAAATAACAATGTGGCCCGTTGATGATGATGAAGACGAGATTCCAACACATGGTATGCAACAGACCGTGGATATATGACTTAGTTACGGGATGAAATTGTTGAGAAGTTGATGCACAATATAAATAGAATTGTTTTTAAATGAAATTGTTATTGTAAAACCATTTTTTTTATTGTATAACTAATTTAGTTGCACGAATTTTGTTTTTAGTGTTGTATGACTATTATTATTAAAATTTTGGTGTTGAAAAACATTTTAAGTTTGTAAAATCATTTTATTTAAAATTCACTTTGTTTTAGCAGCCTACAGACGTTAAAAAACAAACAGTCTTCTTATTGTATACTATAGAAGTTTGGTTTACCTCTTTTGCTGCAGAGACTTGCAAATATGATCCGTAGACTGCAAATATTTTAACATCAGAAAAACAAACAACATCTTACTCATGCAAAAACTTTTGTTAAATGAGGAATCTCTGTTAAAATCATAATACTTTGTGTTATTTTACGGTTTAATCATAATTTTTATTTTTTGGATAGAAAAATCTTGATTATTTTATATTTTGCATAAATTTATGAAATAATAATTATTTTTTTTTTCAATAGAAAATGACAGATTATTATATAAAATTAGATAATTATGATTTTTCTGTTCGAAAAATAAATGTTTGGATTAAACCGTAAACAAACCCAAAATATTGAAACTTTATTGAAGATTTACTAAATAAAACTGTTGAAACTATGGGGACTGAAATGATAGGGTATGCAAAATATCTGGTTAAAATGAAATTGATGAAACTATTGGGGCTGAAGTGATAAGCTTACGAAAATGCTAGGCTTCAATGTAATCTTTTTGATTCTGTTTCTAATTTCATGGTATAAATAAAGCGTAGACTCACGGCACGCTTGGATTCGATTCCGCATTCTTCGAATTGTGATTTTGGTTGACGATCGATCTTTTCGTGAAAGCTTCGCTTCGATCTCGTGCAATCTCCGACTTTTCTTGAAATATCTAGTAAGTATTTGATCAGATTGATTGACGATTCAATTTAGGGTTCATCAGATTCTTTTTTAGTTTAACGGTAATTGTTTGATTTTTTCTCAAATTAGTTTTGTACATTTGTTTATCAAGGTTTTAGTTTTGTTAAGAGATGGGGAAAAGCAGCCATGATGCAGACATAGGGGCGAATTGTAAAAAGTACGGTGTTCCTTTCTATGGTGCTTCCTTCGTCCCACGCAACGCGCTCAGATCCTCGGAAACAGAATCCAAGCGCGAAGACGAGATTGTTGGTGATGGATCTAACTATGTGGTTTTTGCCGGAGGCGGTGGCGAAGGTCGAAGTGGAATCCCTAATGCGCTCGTCATCTCCCTCTTTGACTCCGCTTCCAATTCCCTTTCGGACCAACCCGTGAGTCCCATTTTTTCTTATTTTTCATAGATACATTATTTGTTTGCAAATATATGACAAAAAAAGTCATAGAAAAGTTTTCACTTGTTGTTTGACATTTTATGAGGATTGAGCAAACAAAGCAAAAATTAACTAAATTGAATCAGTTGAAGTCATGCCTAATTGTTCATTAAGATATGATTAGTTAAGATCTGAGAGTAGTCTGTTTCACGTTGCTCTTAGTGAACGCATAAGCTTTCAATGTTTGAAGATGATTTTACTTTTCCTGTAACAAAGCTTTTTTTCCTGGCATAAGCTTATGAACTAGACACTCCTTATTGCAGGTGAACAAGTTTGGGCTTGATGATGAGCTTCCATATAGAATGGCTGTTCACCCAGGTGGTGAAGGTGTTATATGTTCATTACCAAAGAGTTGCAGGTAATTTTGAAAGTACTTCACATAATTCCTAATTGTTAGCCCACATATTTAATAAAATTGGATTCATGTTAGAAGTTAATAGCATATAGTTACACTATGTAGATGGTTCGAATGGGAAGCAACCAAGAAAGATGATGACTTCACGTTGAATCTAAAGCAGTCTGAGAAAGTCCTATATGAATTAGAACATATTGGACAACAACTTGCAGTTACTTTTAGTCATGATGGTTCTTTACTTGCTGTAGGTGGTGAGGTAGGGCTCATCTTTCACATACCCTGAGCTGTAGAATTTTGTTGTTGAATGTGAATCATCATATGGTTTTTAACTATCCAGTTATGGTGCAGTACAGGATGGTAAGCTGAGGGCATTCAAGTGGCCCAGTATGGAAGCAACTATTGATATCCCTGATGCTCATGGCTCTGTGAAAAATTTGGATTTCAGGTTCTATACCTAAATTGTAATTGCTTAATCATGCTGATGTCATACTCTTATACTCCAAATTTACTGATTTTGTTGGGTGTTAATCTGTGTTGCAGCCCTGATGGAAAGTTTTTGGTGTCTGTGGGAAGTGGTGGCCCTGGTAGAGTTTGGGACACCTCATCATCAACCAATAAAGCTTCTTTACCAAAAGAGAATGTATGGAATATCTCCTAACTATATTTTATGAAAAATGTAAGAAATTAGAAATGCGTACTTGTCACTAACTACATTTACTTTTCTTTACAGGATGAAGTTTTTGGGTTTTGCAAGTTTTCACATGATAGCTTGAATAATGAAGTTCTGTATGTCACTGCAATGCGAGGTGTGTGTGTGTTTGCTGTTTGGCATTCTCGAATTTATGTAATCTTTGTTTGTTGTTTTAATTATGTAAACATTGATGAATGTTTTTAATGAAATAGTGAACTAATTTGTTTGGACATTTTTCATCATGGGTAGATCGAGGAGGAAGTATTGTTAAGTGGAATACAACAACATGGAAGCGTATAAGCTCAAAGTATGTAGTGAGAGACCCGATTTCTGCCTTCAATGTGTCAGATGATGGGAGGTTTCTTGCCATGTAAGACCTATTTTATTAGCATGTGTGTATAAATCTGCTTCTGCTTCTGAATAGAACATCTTCAAATGATAAATGTTGATGCATTCTTTGCAGAGGTACGATTCAAGGGGACATATTTATATTGAATGCTAGTAATTTGAGGGTGCAGAGTGTAGTGAAGAAAGCACATCTTGGCCTTGTTACAGCCCTAGCCTTCTCACAGGATTCAAGGTTCCCTTTCTTTCTTTCTTTCAGATTTCCGACCTTTTTCCATACCCTTTTTTTTTTTTTTTTTTTTAAGTAAAAAGGCTTCTTCTTGTTGTTTTTTGGTAATACAGAGCCCTGGCATCTGCTTCTCTTGATTCAAGTGCAAGGGTCACACAAATCAAAGAAACAAAAAACAATGGTACATCTCTCCTCTCCCACATTTGATATCTGATTCACACATAATGCAATGTACTTCCTAAAGTTGTTTGTTTCATTTTTTTTTTGCAGGATTTAACATATGGATCATACTGTTATTCATATTACTTGCAGCAGCTTTATATTATGCAAAAACAGAAGGCTATCTTCTTCTCTAAGCAAACAAAAATTCTCACTTGTATTGTATCCCAACACTAGACCAAAAACTTGGCTCAACAATTCAAAAATGTTTTGTGGGTAACTGTACCCATGCAATGTATGTGACTTAAATTATATCAGGTAGAATTAATACCATTTTCATTCTACTTGCATATATTTTCATTGTGTATGTGTATGTGTATACTATACTTTTTCCATACATATGATTTCAACATTTTCATATCCTTACATGAATGTGAGAATCTGTAAGTGAGATCTATTTTATGATCAAAATAAGTTTACTTATCATTAAGCTTGAAATGGCTTGATTTTTGGACCCAGAAAGCAAATATAGATTTTATCAAGTCTGTAAGGGCGCAGTAAATATATAAATCCTAGTTTTGGTTAATAGTTGCTAAATGGTATGCAGTCGTATTATGGAATTTTTTTAAACATTTGTCTATGTACTAAATTGTGATAATATTAAAAACGAAGTATAATGTATGTTCCTCTCGTTTCATACAAGCTTTCACGTTTGTTTTTTTGATGTCTAATAAGTCATTTGTTATCTTATGAATGCTTACATATAATAATATTACAGGGACAATCACGAAAATAGTACTTTTTCATAGCACTTTCAAGAAATTGGCCACATTTTGGGCTAAACTCCCGATTTTGTAACCAATCGGTTGTGAAATACATAACTCGTGAAGCTATTTTTTCTGACTTGAAGAGTTTACAGTTTGACTTGTGAGGTTGTTTCCACTCGAAAACCACCTTTTCAGGCAAATCTTACCATTATACTTGCGTTTAGGGGGTGTTTGACGTATCTTTTGAGGGACTAAAGAACTTTTTTGGAAAAGATAGAATGCAAAAGATGTTTGTGGTAAAACTATTTTAACAACTATTTTTTGATTTTTTATATAAGGAAAAGTGATTTTTTTGGAAAAATCAAGAAATATTGTCTTTTTGTAACTTTTGCCAAATTGACTTTTGGCTCCAAAAAAATAAGTCAAACACCCTCTTAGTAAGAAACTGCTCTCTTAATCCTGGTTTTGAAATTTTCTTTGTGGTGCTGATTTCTCTTCTATTATTATATATTGAAGAGTTTTGTAGATTTAATCTCCATTTTCAAGAGGTTTAAGTCTGCAAACACATATTGTTTCGTACTTTCATTCAAGATGAATTCATTCGACAAGGAATTATGGTATTGGTTTCACTTCGAGTTTAAACTTTCCTAGGTTGGTTAATTTGATGGCAATCAAGATACGTTTAACAGACAAACATACTCGTTTGATCTTTTCAATATTTTGAAATGAAGAATATAATCGAGCTAGTTAACAACAGTGATGTCAAATACTTTATAGATGTTCTTTCTTTATTACCAAATACGATAACTATATTACTTGTTGATAGTCGTGTCAATTGTGGAAATGATTTCCTATAAATCAAATGGTATGTAGAAACCGCTCGGGGAAAATAGATAAAGTGTTGGAAGCAATTAAGCAAGTAATTACTTCCATGCTTTTGATGATTCATGATATTTGTACTAAACACCAATAACATGTGGTTTTGAGTATGTTTCACCACAAAAGGATAAACATGTTGGTGATGATAAGCTTGCATACAAGGTTGATGAATCATCAACTGGTTATTGAGATTAGTTGATGTTATTTGATAATTCAAATCGAAATTCACAAGAGAAGTTGCTTGAAAATTGTAAGTGTATACATATCCTTGTCCTCGATACTGAGTATTTCAGTTGTGAGGATGAAGGAGGAGGTGACAGAAGAATAAGTTCTTTCTGGTATATGCCCCTTTAATACCAACCCTATATCGTTTTCACATCCATGCCATCAATTTGCACAAGTCGAAATTAAATGTAAAAAATCTACAAATATTCAGAAGTATAAGGATTGAAACATGGGATTGAAATGTTATGAAAATGATTTTGTGATTAAAACCAATATATATACAAAAGACGGGGGTCAGGAAATATGTTGCTGTGAATACTATAAACCACGTACCAAGATTGTCCTATCTCTTAAAATTAAACTTTTCAAGGTTCAAAATTTTAATGGACGATCATATTTTTCAACAACCTAGTTGCATTTCAATTAGCACGAAGTTAACAAAAAAAATGCATGATCATATATCAAAGGAGATAATGCTTAATAACATAGTATATCAAGGAAAACGAATTGTCTAACAATGTTGATACCAGTTCAAAGTTGACATTCCATACTCTTCAATTCTTCTGGTTGGCGGGGAAAGTGTCAGAGGCTAAACCCAGGGCCTGTTCATTGATTTTGAGTGCTCTATGCGGAATGTAAAAAATGGGCCCTTAATTTTGTAGTATACAAAGTTTACTAATACATGTTATAAAAATATCCAAAGAAAACGATAATACAATATTTATAGTTTTATGTAGTTACATAAAATTGTTCCCAAATAACAGATTTAATCGAAATAATAGTCTAAATTAACAATTGCTTAATTGTTAAAATTTTAATAATAATAGTCTCGATTAACAAATGCTTAATGGTTAAATTGTTAATGCGTCATCCTTAATAGACATAGACATAGGTTAATAAAGAAAGATGTACATGCGTGAATAAACAGAAGAAAAAGCTTTGAAAAAATTTTGTGAATAAAAAAAAACCAACAAACGTTATATAAAAGAAGGGTGGGATACTAGCTTACAAGAAAATTAGAAAAAATGCAAGCCGCTAAAATCAAACGCGATCACAGAGACAAAAAGGATAAACAAGCGCATCCTAACCAGCTGATCTAATACATCTGTTCATAAATATTTAGGTGACCTTTTATATATATATACTAGCCGTCTATCCGCGCAAAGCGGCGGGGCACGTGAGTTCTTTCGGTGATATGTTTCCATTACAAAATTGTTATGTTAAAAAAAAGTACATGTTGAAGACAATATAATCAAACTATGGTGTTATTTGTTACATCATGCATCAAATAACCAATAAAAAACAACCAGTCAAGACGACACAAAATATTAATCGTGCAATACTTCTTTATACACCACATTTGCTGTATAAACCCCATCACCTTTTGAATTTTCGTTAGGCTTTACTAATACTTTTGTATTGCAACGTGAAACCCCTCTGGACAATGCAACATAAAGTTGTCCATGCGAGAATACTGGTTCTGGAAGATAGATACCTACATATGGAATTGTTTGTCCCTGAGCTTTATTGATTGTCATTGCAAAGCACAATCGAATAGGAAACTGTTTCCTCATTAGAGGATCGATGGTTGCTACTAATTGCTTGTAACTGGTATTGGTTTCATATCGATGGATGTGGATTCGCATATGAAATCAATTGTGTTCGCATCTATGAAATCAGTTCGCATATGACATCAATTGAGTTCGCATTTGGTTTTGTGGGTCAAAACAGTTCGCATAAGAAGTTCACGATTTGTTTGAGGTTAATTGATTTTGATTTCGCAAGCTTGGAGTCGGAGATCTGGATTGTGTTCGCATCTATAGAATGCGAGGAGAATTTAATGGTGATATTCAGTTCGCATTTGGTGACACAAGTACGTGGTTGATGATTTTTGGTTGGTTCGCATTTGAAATTAGTGGGTTTCGCATTTGGCTTCGTATCTGGGTTTCTCAAACAACTGAAATGCGAATATGAGATAATTGATTAATTTCTCAGTTAATGCGATGAAATGCGAATGAACTCAAAGACGGATGGATGCAAGATGCGAAGAATTTGAATGAAAATGCGAAGTTTTTAATGTATAAATGCGAATTGGGGAAGAAAGCTTAGAGTTTCGCATTTGGCACCTGATCTTTTCAAGAAATAATATAAGTGGTCCAACTTCGCAAAATGGGGTCATTTAATCAGAAAATCGATCATTCTTCAAATATGACATTTAATCAGAAAATCGATCTAAAAATGAGACATTTGGTGTTTATCGATTTTTCAGGGTCGACGGGTTGTATGAAAAGCGAAGGCTGAGTAATTGAAAATTAGAGGATCGATGGTTGCTACTAATTTCTTGCAACTGGTATTGGTTTCATATCGATGGATGTGGATTCGCATATGAAATCAATTGTGTTCGCATCTATGAAATCAGTTCGCATATGACATCAATTGAGTTCGCATTTGGTTTTGTGGGTCAAAACAGTTCGCATAAGAAGTTCACGATTTGTTTGAGGTTAATTGATTTTGATTTCGCAAGCTTGGAGTCGGAGATCTGGATTGTGTTCGCATCTATGGAATGCGAGGAGAATTTAATGGTGATATTCAGTTCGCATTTGGTGACACAAGTACGTGGTTGATGATTTTTGGTTGGTTCGCATTTGAAATCAGTGGGTTTCGCATTTGGGTTCGTATCTGGGTTTCTCAAACAACTGAAATGCGAATATGAGACAATGATTAATTTCTCAGTTAATGCGATGAAATGCGAATGAACTCAAAGACGGATGGATGCAAGATGCGAAGAATTTGAATGAAAATGCGAAGTTTTTAATGTATAAATGCGAATTGGGGAAGAAAGCTTAGAGTTTCGCATTTGGCACCTGATCTTTTCAAGAAATAATATAAGTGGTCCAACTTCGCAAAATGGGGTCATAAAAAGACAAAAGTGCAGAATTTTCATTTCGCATCCCTGTAGTCTTCGCAAAATGGAAAATTTTACCCAGTTTCGCATTTGGGGTAAATTTTTTTGAGAAATTGGAATATTTTCAAACTTTTTTTCTTAAAAAAACACATTGTCTTCGTCTAAGAGAGGGAGAAAAACGATTAGGGTTTATAAGGGAAATACTTCATGGCAGTGGGATTTATAGCAGGGTTTATAAGGTGGAGAGAACAAACACACGTCTGCTATGAGATATTTTAATCAGCTGCAAATGCAACATTTAAAGGATATTTGTTGAAGCGTATTAGGATGAAAAGGTTTTAAATTTTGAATGACCATGAAATTAGGATTTTGCTGAGAAATATAAGGAATCAAAACAAATTTAAAATTTAATATTATTTTATTAATGGTTGTTTGTAATATTAGCTTAATCGTTTGTACGTCTTAAAAAATAATATTATTATATTCAATCTATTTATAGAAATAGTTAGATTTCATTTATAAGTAGTAAAGATATATATATATATATATATATATATATATATATATATATATATATATATATATATATATATATATATATATATATACTAGATTATAGCCCGCATTAAACGCGGGAAACGCATAAAAAAACATATAATCGTTTATAGATATTGTATAATGATTATAAAAAAAATATATAACTATTGGTATTATTGAAATATGTAGAAAATACATTGAAAACGATATATATATATATATATATATATATATATATATATATATATATATATATATCATTGAAAGATCTTTTTGTAGATATCATTTTTTGTTTTA